TGTCTAGATTTCTTTGACACCTATTCTCTAGTTACGAGAATAACTTCGATCAGAATATTGATTGGTGTAGCAGCCTTGCGAGGCTTGGAAATCCATCAGATGGATGTTAAAACTGTCTTTCTAAATGGTGATTTAGAAGAAGAAATATACATGAAACAACCCGAAGGTTTCGAGGTTAAGGGTCCAGAGCACAAAGTGTGTAGACTCGTGAAATCATTGTATGGACTGAAACAAACTCCAAAACAATGGCACGAAAAGTTTGACAATGTGATGATGTCAAATGGTTTCAGCATTAACGAATGTGATAAATGCATCTACTACAAATGTACTCCAAACGGATACATCTTACTATGTCTGTATGTAGATGACATGCTGATTATTGGCAGTAACAAAGATATCATTCAACAAACCAAGAACATGCTCAATGGAAAATTTGACATAAAAGACATGGGACTTGCAGATGTCATTCTTGGGATTAAGATCATTCGAACTTCAGATGGAATTACTCTGTCTCAAGATCACTATGCTGAAAAGATCCTAGAGAGATTTAAGACCTACTCGAATGGAACCGCAAAAACTCCAATGGATATGCAAGCTCACCTAACCAAGAACACAGGTGAACCAGTTTCACAGGTGGAGTATGCACGGGTAATTGGAAGTCTGATGTACTTGACCAATTGTACAAGACCCGATCTAGCGCATGCGGTAAACGTGTTAAGTCGATACACAAGTAATCCAGGTCATGCTCATTGGAAAGCAATAACTAGAGTGTTGAACTATTTGCGACACACTAAGAGTTATGGGCTACACTTTGGTAAAGAACCAGCAGTGTTAGAAGGGTATAGTGATGCCAATTGGATTTCAGATTCTAGAAATTCCAAATCCACAAGTGGATATGTCTTTACACTCGCTGGAGCAGAAGTATCCTGTAAATCTTCCAAACAGACACTCCTGGCCCAATCAACCATGGAGTCAGAGTTCATAGCTTTAGACAAAGCAGCCGAAGAAGCAGAGTGGCTTCGGAACTTCCTGGAAGATATCCCGAAGTGGGAAAAACCAGTGCCAGCATTACATATACACTGTGATAGTTAGTCGGCTATTTCTCGGGCACTGAATAGTCTGTATAATGGCAAGTCTCATCACATACGAAGACGACATAAGACCATTAGGCATCTGATCTCAAGTGGTGTACTCACGGTTGATTACATTAAGTCAGCAGAAAATTTAGCGGATCCGTTCACCAAAAGCTTGCCGCGAGATCAAATCATTAAATCATCTAAGGGAATGGGGCTTATTGCCTATCACGAAAGAGGATGTTTGATGGAAACCCCACCTACGCGATTGGAGATCCCAAGAGGTTGGTTCAAAGGGACAACTAAATCAAGCAGAATCTGAGAAAAGCACTGTCAATTTCCATGATGATAAACAGTGCTTCCTGTAATTATGTAAAGTTAAGCTTTATGGTTTTTAATGAGATAAGACCATAGCCTTCATATACATGTATATAGAGTATAACAGGATACTTTCTGTGTATGTGACAGGTACTTGGCAATCACCTAGTGAATGTGAAATGAAGCCGTTGCTAGGAGAAAGAAGACAAGGCTATACTCTCCAAGTTCACTCATGATAAACCAGGCACGTTCAAGGCCACAATGAACACAATAGAGAACTGAATGCTACGAGAAGACGAAGATGAGTTGTATCTGTTGATTTGGTTTACACCAAAATCCGGGTGGTTCAAGACATCATGTTCACTTCCTGGAGAGTAAATCCGACAGATATTAACAATGAGTAGTTCAAGGCTGAAAAACGCTACTTCCTCAGACACAGTTAGTTTTCGCTTATACTCTCGAAAAGTCCGTCTGTCGAGTCTGTAGTCTAGTTTGAGTCTAGTCTACATAGTCTATCGAGTCTGCATATGTATAGAGTCATTTCTATTCATGTGGGGGATTGTTGTAACCCAATATTAATAAGCATTTGGACTTGTAATATTGAGTTTGTTTGGGAATAAGAAATGAAGTTTAATAAGCAAATGGGCCTTATAAATTCATTTGAGATTTGGGTTTGAGCCTATGTAAATGAAATGTTCCTATTGGCTATAACTAAAAGTGGAAGTTTAGTGGAAGTGTATTTGTCCCACATTGCTCACCAAGGAGAAAAATCTCTTTCATATATATGGTCTTCTCACAATAAGGGTCAACAGCATTGTGAAAATAAAAGGACATTATGCAAAAATACCTATGTGCGCCGCCGCCGCCGGTGCCGGGCTCGGGCTCGTGTTCGTTGCTCGTTGCTCGTTGCTCGTTGCTTGTTGCTCGTTGCATTTTTTAGTTGGCTCTTAGGGCTCTTAGGGCTCTTAGGGCTCTTGGGCTCTTGGGCTCTTGGGCTCTATATAGTTGGGTGTTGGTCGTGGGCTTCTTAGTTTCTGCGAAATAATTTTTGCATATTGAAAGGATAAATCTTAGGAAATAAAAGATTGCGTCCAGATAATAACGGAAGATTTCTGAATCCTTTTACTTGCGGAAAAGGAGAATATTTCATGAATATTCCTTTTTGCCAAAGCTTATTCCTTGCGGATCAAGCTGAACCTTCCAGTATAAATAGACGCCCTCTTTTCTCATTCTATATCATCGAATTCTCGAATACATCAAACACACAGCAAATAATTCTTTCCAGCAAATCCCTCTCGTCTTAATATCGTAAGTGTCTCGAGAGCTATAGCATAGTATAATTTCAGTTCGCAGATTCTACGGGTGTTGCGTAATAGTCTCATCACGGTTGTATCCTGGGATTCAAAAATCGCACCATACGGTCACACAGTACCGGCGATTTATTGAGTTAAGGAAAGAGATCATATCTCGACTCCGTGTTTTCGTCTGTTTTCAATCGGTTTTCTAACTCTTGTTTTAATCTCTTACCTTAACATAACGTTTATAATATTGATATTTTCTATTCGTGATTTTAATCAGATTTTCACGGTCCTACATATTTTAGATATCTAAATAACCTTTTTTTAATCTAATTTATATCTATTACTTGATCCTATATTCAAAATGAACATACCATGCTTAACCAACGAGACCAAGATGAAGTTGTTGATGGTGTCAGTCCGATCAACGAAACATATGTTGGCTTTTTTTCGTTTTTTCCTTTTTTTATCATCTTTTATATAAATATGGACAAAAATTCTTTGAACACTTCCAATTTATGCTACATTTTGGAGTTTAAGGTGTTTTGTACTAGTTTTGAAACTTCATCTCAATTTTGCACTAGTATTAAGACTCCCTCTATGTTAAAAACTTAAATTTGATAACACCTCTATATAGTATATGATTGAATATAAACAGTTCTTATTTGTGCTAAATTTGTTATATATATATATACATATATATATATATATAAGCCTTGTTCTTGTCAATATTATGCGACAAAGACAATAAGAGAGCAATTGCAAACCTACGTTAGCTGGGGCGAGCTACAAAATCAAGACGAAGAAGTAAAAAGAAATTTGATTTCAGCGAAATGATGAAGACTGCGTATACAGGAAATGTGTCCTTGAAAATACTAGCATCTACACATTCATTGGTAGATCTGAAATTCATCATCCTGTTTTGTTTGCTCATTGTCATTTTACTTTGTCGCTTTCTCTATTTGAAAAGTGGTTAAACAATTTAGCTAATGATATATTGAGTATTTGTATTCTACGACAACGAAAACCTGGTTTCTAAAAAAAAACTGATATATGCACTTCATTTTCCAAAGAGGAAGAGTGAACTTTTTTTTTTTTCAGGAAGAGTGAATTTTGACCATTATAAACCAATATTTTAGGCGTAGATTCAATAGACAATAAAATCTACTAATTAAAATCGGAACACTTACAATCAAGCTGAAAAGATGAGAAATGCTAAATGTAATTATACACAATTTGGGAACGTATTTTTAAATGATTAACATAATCAATCTTTGACTGCACAAACAAGTGACCCCATCGCGATAAACCAAAACTCACAATCGTATTGACAAAACGGTGGTTACCAATTTTATTCTCGTCTAATCTCTCTTTCGGTCTCAAGCATAAGTCTAACTAAAGCGTGACTAGAATGTCTAATTCATCGCAAAGTTATGGGTCCTACGTGAAATGCAAATAGGAGATGATGTGGCGATCGGATCTGATGGTGTATGGGTCCAAGAGCATAGGCATTTGCCCGTGGGCAGACATTAAAGCTGTCATCAGTAAGACTATACTTTTACTAAGTCGCGGCACATTCTCACTGGTCAGGCTTGAATATCTTGTCAGTTCTGAGTATGAAGTAGTGCACTGTATCTCATTACATATCACCCAAACTCGGTAATAAGACACAATGCAAAACAGTAATGACTAATCAATGATTCTCTGTTTTTTTCTCTCTTTTTTTTTGCTAAACTGTTTTTTTTTTTTCTTCCCTTACAAATCATGACTTGTTATTTTTCCTGAAATGCCTTTTTATCTCCAGCCAATGATATATACACTTACTTTTCTAAGAAAAATAAATGAAAATCTTAAACTATTGATTGTTAGTGTGTAATGAAAACAGTCGCATTTAATAGTTTTGTTGAATTTAAGTTGGTAGGTCCAAACAAACACATGTGCTTGTAAAGGTTCAAAAATAGGGGCAATATATATATGATAAAAAGTTTGATATGATTGATACTGAATTTCCTTTCATATTCGTAAATGCCAAATCATTTTCTATTCACAAATTAGAAATTTTATCTGATTTTTTAAACCCCAAAAGAAAAACTATCTGATATTTTTAAATTGAATTACGGAAATGGGTTTTCGATATCACTTAGAATTTGATATCTGCTTTGCGCCTGAGTACGTGTTACTGTGTTAGGTACTATATATATTAAAAGTTTTGGATCGTTTTTTATTACATCCAATGATTAAGTACTCTTCTCATATTTATTACTTCGCAAGAAATATTATTATCCTTGTTGTATCATAACAACAAGGAAGACTTGGAAGAGAGTTAGCGGAGAAAACGAAAGTTCCCTAACAATTACTCTATATGCCTTTACAAACTATGGTCATACTTTTCTCTCCTTACTTTATATCATACACTAACATCAAAGAAGATGATCTAACTATTATCTAAACCCATATTCGACAAAAACCTCGGAGACATCAGGATATGTCGTCATTCATGAATGCTTTGAAACCGTTATATCTCCAGCTCATGAACTCCTCTCACATCGCATATAGCCACAAAAGATCCGACTCTTTTTCTTCAAATCAAACTGTTGTAGTACAATATATAGATATAAATTGTGTGCACAAGATGCTGTCTAGTACTGATGTGTATATGTAGAGGAGCCGCAAGTATTTAGTCATCCCAACAAATGAGCATGACCACACATCTTCTGATGATGTAAAGCCTTCCCTTTTGCTCTTTCAAATATCCTCCAAGCTTTTTGCTGCATGGAGTCTTCTTCTTGGTGTCTTTCATGATTACAAACTGTAGAGAGAGAGAGAGAGAGAGAGAGAGAGAGAGACAGAGAGAGAGAGAGAGAGAGAGAGAGAGAGAGAGAGAGAGAGAGAGAGAGAGAGAGAGAGAGAAGAGTTTATGTGTGAGTGAGAGGGAGAGAAATAGATTCCTTAGCACAAAAAGATGTTGTGTAAAGAGAGTAAGACTTAACTTATATATACTCACATATATATTACATACATGTATACGTAGGAAATTTCTATACATCATACCCATTATAGATGATTATTTAAATTAAAAAAAAACAAGTAACAAGGAAACTGTAACCCATACTTTCTCTTATCATGCATGATGCATTATATAGTCTTTTGTATATTAAGAAAAAGGGGCACTTGAGATTTATATTCGAAACTAATAGTCTCTCTCTACCTCTCTCTTAATTAAGGATATGCCATGTCAACATTTCTAAGAAGTAGCAAGATTACAAAGGAATCTAAGCAACCCCACGCGCATTATGTTTTTTCTCTCTTGTATGATACTTTGGAAGCTGTCCTTGTCATCGTGTGTTGGATCGATTATCATTGACATCTCTAACCCTTCGTCTAACCAATTAACCCAAGATCTGAATGATCTGGTTATTAAAATAACAACGGTTTGATTCATTAAGATGATTTTCTTGAAAAAAAAGAAAAATTTACATATAGTGAGACATTAACATGTTTTCAGCAATCTATGTAATTATGAGTCCGATTGGTGATATAAAGCGGTAAGACTCTTTTAGCAGAGCGTAAAAGTCTTTTAGCAGGAAAATAAATAAGTAAATGATAACGCAATAATTATAAAAAGTAAGGAATAGCGATAAAGAGATATAAAATAACGTTGCTATTTTTTTATCTCGTTGGTAACCATCAAAGCGGTATACTAGTCCTTAATGCTTTAATAAGTGATCACCAATCAACCCGATTATTGCTGTCAGCAGCGGTAAATCTGGAACTTTATATTTCTATATTCATCAACAACATATGACTTTAAATACATCGAAACCTAAATACAAATTAATATAAGCGATGTTGCATTTGTATTAGTTTTTAAAATACATTGAAAAGGTAAGAAAACTTTCACATATATTATATATATATACAAATCAAGTGACACAAGTGTTAACATAATTTACGTACAGTTATGACATCAACACAAAACTAATACCAATGCTAACGTCGGTTATATTAATTAATACAAAGATGTAGCATCACTATTTTTGCAAGCAATATAATATTTTTTTTTGGTTTTAGGAATATAAGTTAATATCAATTACAATGATCGATCAAAATATTTGCATCAATCGGTTAAATTGTCAAAAATATCTGTATCATCATATTTAGAGTCTGTTGTGTAATTGATGTAAAACTCAATTAGATTGATACTAAAAAACAAAGTAAGTGACTTTTACTATGAAAACAACTCATTTTTGTGAGTTGGACTCTTAAGAGGTCAATTTAGTGTTGGAAAAATTATCCAATACTTTTGATCATATTTGATGTCTTTTGAGATGTCTCCATTTCAAAATGTCAAAAATTTCATATTCGAATACGGAGTATAGCTTATCCAAATTGGTGAACATATGAAATTTGTTTAAATGGATACCTATATCTAACCCAAACTAATTGTTTCACAAATTTTCTAAATTATATTGGATAAGTTATCCACATTGTTTGTAGTTCTTATGATATTTTCTTTAATTAGACATCTTACGAACATTCAATTTTTAATACGTACGTTTCTATAAAAGAGTTCGAGTTATGCCGATATTCAGATTTTGTTTTAACAAATATTCAAAAGACATCCAGGATATTCCGTTAATGCAAATACAGAGTGAATTAATTACTCGTTCAGTATAAGATTATATTTGGAAATAGATTATCTACGATGCACGTTCAATATAATTACGTTTAATAATATTTGGAAATAGATTATCTACGATGCACGTGATTAGTTGCACACGTAGCCCGACGGGCCAAGAAGATTTCCATTCTCAAATTGATTATCTTTGACTATAAACCTCTTCACATTGCTGATTAGTGTACTTTTCTTAATTTAAAAAGTTAACACATTCTACGTTCTCTTGTCATTTTCAACTCACTAACCCGTCCGCCGGCCGTTGCTGATTGAGAATGCTAGATATTTCAAGTCAACTCATTACTATATGTTATTTCTGAACAATACAATTATTGGTTTAAGTTCCTTTGTAATTTTGCTCCATAATTATAATTTTTTTAAACTAATACAGTTTTAGGTTTGTACTTATTAGTCGTAATTGAATTAACTCTAAAACTATACAACATGTACTAATGTGAATGACAAGATTAACAAGATATCTTGAAAATTAGTTAAAGTACAAGAAAATATACTTCTTGAAAATTATGAAAACTAAGTTGAGATAGAACATTCTGTTGGTGTTATGACAATTTGTTATGGAAAAAATGTACTGTCTTATAAAACATTCCATTAAGATAATAATGTTCTATGAAAGTAAGATATATTTACTATATCAAAATTTATTATTTGGAAAAATGAAAAAGAGAACAACTATCTAAACTTTATCACAATATATACTGAAAACAAATGACGTTTTTGATAAAAGAAATAGGCAAAATAATTTAGGACAACATTCTTGAAGGTCTTTTTCTTTTTGCGTAATCGAATTTTAAATTATAAGAGCAGTACAATTAATTAAAAAATAATATTTGGATTGTAACCATGTTATGTGGGGGACGTAAAAGCCCCAATGATATGATAAAATGGAGACAATATCATTTAACTCTATCTTTAACTTATCGCATTGCCTCAAATCCTTGGATGCAGACAAAGGTATCCGAAGCCTTCTTGTATATTTACTTGTTTATCTTATTGTAGGGTCTGTAGATTATTCAAAGGGTTAAAATCAAAATAAGAATTAAATTAAATTAGTTAGAACAGATTTTTTTTTATGACTAACAAAAAAAAGTGTTACAAAGAGGCAAAGACAATCCCATATAACATGTACTGTACGGATGAATTCCGGTCGACATGTGATAATCCCGTGAAGGGCATGCTCTTTGCCTCTTCTAAGGTGGACAATGGACTTTACAATATTTTTGTTTGTAATTATTAGTATAATATTATAAATAATTGAGGCGTACCGAGTTGTTGGGGGTCTAATTATTTGTGATACATGTTCTTCGATCCTTATTATATCGGTTAATTGAAAGTATATATTTTTTCAGACAAATAATATTTTCTTAAGTTAATGAGATTACTTATTGATATGGTTATCATTCAGAGCCCATCTTGACGGGTATTGAAATTCTGAGATTTGGTTTGATAAGCTGTTTTCCTATAAAAATTATGTTTTAAAAATTTTAAAAACATTTTTTTTTCTGAAGTAATAAGACTAATATTTTTATAAAATTAGAAAATTTAAATTTAAAAATGAAAACAGACACAACAACTGACAAACTAGTATGAAGTACTCGAATCTATCCACATGATATTGTTTATATAAATTTGATATGTTGGTTTGAGTTTCCTAAATGTTCTAGGGAATATAGTGTTGACAAAAAAATGATTAGATCAACAATTTTTTATTTTTAACTTGATCCTTGATACAAAATATGGAAATGTGTTCAATACTACAAACATCACAAAAGCGAATGCATAGACATCATCGTCACCATCCAAAGCATGAAGGAGTGACATGACAAATGCTTATGCAATTTCTGCAATTGACATAATTAAAAAGAACCGTATTTTGAATCCTAACAGAAAGTTTTTTTTTCATTTTTTCCTCAGTTTTCACTAAAATCGAGATGGTTTAGTTTTCACTAGATGGGGCAAGCAGATCATTCCCTCATGTCCACCAACTTATTGTAGATGGACCTTGGAGTTTAGGATGTTGTTGACAATAACATTATGTTTTTCTGTCAAAAAATGTAAAAATTTATTTTTCCAACAAAAATATAAAATTTTGTTTTCCGCTAAAATGTAAAATACTGTTTTCCAATCAAAAAATTAAAATACAATTGGATCATCTCTCTATTTTAATATAAATAAATTTAATAATCTATACCAGAATCAAATTATATTGTTGACGATAGATATGAAATGATCTAGACTAAGAGTTGCAACATACTCAACCAATCCTTTCACCAGTGTAGCATTAAAGTGGAAGACATCATCACCCTATTTTGACACACCAAGAGTGATCAAAACAACATTAACATCTTTTAGGTCAATGGTGTAAGAAAATTGTGCTGTATTTTTCTAAAACCATGGAAAAACATCAATAACAAATTCTTCCATTGGTGTTGGACCAACAGTCTCTTATTCATCATCGATCTAGAGCTATATACTTACCACATTTGTAAGCCCGAGTTGTGTAAGTTCCTAGGTTTAGAGGTTTCAAACCAACAATCTGTGAACCAGATTTTTCCTCTTTGGGCAATGTTGTTTGAGTTTTTGCAGCACAAACATATGGATTCAAGATCAGTTCTGCATAAAAAGTAATTGTTCTTGGTGCTAGCATGAGGATATGTCATGTTTTGTCTTTGATCAATGGAGACATGCACAGAAATTATTGCTAGATTTAAATGCTTTCATTGTCAATTGATATGTTATAGTGACCATTTGAGTGAGGCTTTTAGAAACATATAAGCTTTTTTGTTAAAATATTTTCATTTTAATACATGAATTAGTTTTCAAATTAATAAAAAATCATATTATTAATCACATATTTTTTATCAAATGAATACAAGCTAAACATCTAGCACGTGTAAAAATCAAATTTAATATAAAATATAGGAATTCAAAAAACTTTAAATGTACTTTATTTAAAGCTACATTTCTAGAATTACTTAGTTAGTTTGTTGACTAATAAATTTTTGTGAGAAATGAATAAACATTAAAATGAATTACAAGAGCAATATGTAGTCTTTTTCCAAAAGACTTTCAGTTTTTATTTTTGGTCAACACTCAATTTTATATAATCCCAGACTATTGTGACTAAAATAAAAAACTGATGTAGAACAGAGATAATACGATGTACTAATTATTCAACGTACGAAAAAAGAGTTTTGTTCAGAATGGAAAAAAAAAAGAGGTTTGTTCATAAGAAGAAGTTCAAAAAAAGAAAAAAAAAAGAGGTTTATTCATAAGTTGACTAAAAGAAATTTTGTTTCAAAAGGAAACCGGTTTTGGTTAAGTGGCAAATCAATGTACCCATGATGGGCATTGAATTCATAAATCGGTTTATTAATTTGTTCTTCTTCTTCCTCTTCACCCCGGCCGGCTGCTACGAGGTGAAATTTATCGATTTGTGGAACTGTGAAGCGATTGATAGGTGGTTGTTCCAATCGAAACAACTAATTTACAGTTTTGATCAATTGGGTTTTCGATTGACTGGCCTTATTATTCTTACTGGTTGAATTTCAATCCCCTCTGCTACAGACACTATCTGATCTACATACATACATGAGTTTTAAGAGATTCACTTGTGTCTTCTTTAATCCCATTCTGATTCCTTCTTTATATGTGCAGACTAATTGTAGTTTGGTGAAATTCTGAGATGGCTCCGGTTGGTCCTCGATCCGGTGATGCGATCTTCTCCAGCATCGATCGCGTGGTAAAGTTCAGATTTTCAAACAACCTTGTTTCTATGTATGCTTCATTTGGTGTCGGATCTGTTAGTAATACTATGTTAGGATTGTGAAAGAAGTGAACTTTGAAGCCGATTCGGAATCTTTGCTTCGATTTTGTTTTGATTTCGTTGGAATCTGATTCATTTTCTGTAGAATGCGGAGTTGTTCACGTTGACATATGGTGCAATTGTGCGTCAATTGCTTACTGATCTTGAAGAAGTTGAGGAAGTCAACAAGCAGCTTGATCAAATGTATTCTTCTTCTTCTACTACTACTACTACGCTTTCTATTAGCTCTCTTCCATGGTTTGGTCTTGTTTCATGTTAGTAAATTTTTCATTCTTGTGTTTGAAGTTCTTATGCATTATGTCTCTCTAGCTCCTTTGTTCATATGGTAATAAAGCTTTATACTTTCAGGAACATACACTGATGAGTGTTTGATTGTTTTCTACTATCAACCTCTTATCCAAAGGTTTGTGTTTATTCTGCAGGGGATACAACATTGGAATCCGACTTATCGATGAGTTTCTAGCCAAATCTGGTGTTTCCAGATGCGTTGATTTCAGGGAAACTGCGGAAATGATTGCCAAGGTTTGCCATTTCCATTTGTTTAGTATCACCATTTTACACTGCACGTCATATGAATGTTCATTCTCCTCGGAACTTTTAATAAACCTTATAGAGTTTCCGGTTTCTCCTTTTGGTTTTATCACACTGAGATTACCAAAGAAGAGTTTTTGGTTTCTCCTTTGGTTTTGTCACGATTGAGAAGTAGTAACAGGCTTTTTTGCGTTATTACATAGGTGGGTTTCAAGATGTTCTTGGGGGTCACAGCATCAGTGTCAAGCTGGGACGCGGATGGGACTTGCTGCAGTATAATCTTGGAGGATAACCCGCTCGTTGATTTCGTGGAACTTCCCGATACTTGCCAAGGTCTTTACTACTGCAATGTCTTAAGTGGAGTCATAAGAGGCGCTTTGGAAATGGTTAGTCTCCTTTTTCTCCCCGTTTCTTTGATTACATAGTTTGCGTTTTCAAGCTTCTCATACAAACAATTAAGAAACTTCTCTTACTACTCCATTATCAAGTGCAGAACTTGGTTTGGGCTTAGTGTTTTTGTTAGAGACTTTTGTTAAGATGTTAGAAACAGAAACAGTGAGTAATACTCCCAATGATAACGAAGTTTTCTCCCTCGGCCCCTAATCTGAAAGAATACGTATCAGTTTATCTTATTGTTTTTGTTGTTCTGAACAATGTTAGGTCTCAATGAAGACAGAAGTGACATGGACACGTGATGTTCTTCGAGGAGATGATGCTTATGAGTTGCAGGTGAAGTTACTGAAGCAAGTCGCTGAGGAGTATCCTTACAAGGATGATGAATAGAATGTCTCTCTCTTATCTTCGCTCTTACACAAAGAGAAACTATTTACTATTCGTAGTCTCTTTTGTCTCTCTGCTTTCTTAGCTTGTTTTTTTTTCTTCTTCTTTTCCCGGAAATACAAACCATAAGCTTTTAATACTGCTTTATGTTTGGGACAAACCATTAATCTATTTCTTAATGTTCTTATGGGTTAATGTAAGAAGAGTTTAAGCCTAACAAAATCCTTTGTTGATGGTGAGATTTGAGTTTTTATGCGAGTATGTGACCTGTAAGCCTAACCAAATCATCACAGTTTGAGACTGATTTGAGGTATAAAACAGGCAAAATCATAAATTCCACATCGATTTTCCTTAAACCAAAATATTGGGCCAGTTTCAGACTTTCAATTGATTTATACAATAAAAATTAAGCCGAACTGAACCGAGAGAAGCCAAGATAACAGAAAGAGAAGAAATGAGTTAAACTTAAAAATTATATGATAGTCTCTATTCTCATGCTTTAAATTAATTTCCACATTTGCATTCTTTTGTGCTCGCATCACTTTCTCATCCTACAAAATAGAAGCAAGAATTTGTTATATTGTTTCATGCCAAGAATTTGATTAATTCAAATATAACATTGCTGATAATAGCCTCTCTATGAGAATAGCTCACCTGTTGGCAGAGGTATACTTCATATACTTCTCTATCTCTTGTTTCTGCTCAGGCTTAAAGGCTAACCAATTTTCATGTGGAGGCATATCATCAAATGTTCCTAGATCTGTGCATTAACAAAGGGTTAGAGATTTTAAACTACTTCAAAACAAATAAACATATAGTTGAATAAATTTCACTACCTTGAACCAAAAACTTTGGTTCTTCATTAAAGCAATTTAGTTTCCAGAGAACACGACCACCGTCATTCAACAGGATCGGATCAGTTCTAAGAGCATCACATTTTTGATTCTCTGCAAAAAGGTTTGTTAGGTTAAAAGCTTCATAAGAGCATATGAACACACAATATTTGGTAATAAAGAGTCTTTTAAGGGATTTCAGATTTTACTTCTAGATGTCATGCCCTTTGCCTCCAGCATCTCGCCACGAGCTTCTTTGGCTTCAGCTTTTATTTGAGACAACATTGCCTTATGCTCTTCAATGGACAACGGAGCTCCGTTTTTTTCCATGTGGGCTTTGACAAGATCACCTTGCATTTTCTGCCTCAGCTGTTTCTCCTTTTGCTTTGCAGCTGCAGCCTTTTGTTTTGCTTCTCTTTTCTTCGTTTCAGACTCTGTGAGTTCGTTCTCCATGAAGTTCCTCATTGCCCTGGAAAATTTAAAACAGGTGTTGTTAAGTCATAACGAGGCATAAACTACAAGAAAACGTGAATATATATAAGTACGTTACCATGTGCCAAGTGATTCATCACATAAGAGGTTGAGAAGCTTGAGCCTTGTTGATGCATCCATCTTCTTATACTCAGAAACACCTGATTTGAAAGTTTCAGGTGAGAAATCATCACTCAAGACTCCTGATTGCAACAGGCACTCTCCAACAGAACTGAACCAAGTGCCGTCAGTTTCACTTAGAGACAAGGACCTGTAATATTAATTCAAATGCATTAGAAAATAAAAGCATTAAAAGATAACTTATCATGGCAGATGATAAAAAAAAGCACTCATACATATCTCTATCTTGTGATATTATAGCCACCAATCGGATCATCATCGGGACAACAAAACCGTATTGTTGTCTCTTTGTGTTACGCCCACAAGAGAAAAGCTCAGCAACAACAGATTCAGCTTGTCCTTCCTTCACACCAAGAACCTATAAAAAAAACAGTAGAAAATGAAACATATTAAGAGTAATAATATTTAAGAAACACACACAAGGAATGATTACAGATCATAAGTTTAACTACAATACCTTTCCAAAGGCTGAACAAAACTCAAGAAACTGCAATACATTTCCAGTTTCTTCAGTGGGTATATCAATGCCTGAGACATTAGTCAAGCTTATACCCTGAGGAAGTTCAACTTGAGCCTCAAACTGAAATTTATCTTTCACTTTCTTAGTGGCTTTGGGTTTCTTGATCTTGGCAGCCACTTTGGGAACATCTGATTCATAACATTAAAAAAATATTAGTCTTAAGTCTTTCCTTTTCAACACTCACTTGAAAGTAAAAAAAAAACGTGTATTCTTACCAATTAGTTCCACACTTCTACCTTCCATGGAAACATCCTCCTGCGGAAACAACATAAATCAAATAAAGCTTAGATCACAAAAATCTTGAATCAGAGAGTGTTTCACATCAGTAAAGATAGAGAAATGAATTAACCTGCTTTGCCTTCTTCTGATAAGCAAAGTTATCATTGCCCTCAACTTCTAGAAGCTCAGAGACTGATGATAGCCCACTTGCTTTAGCTTTGTGTGCCAATATTCCTGTGGGGTTTTGGCCTCTTTGCTTCCTGTAAAACAAAAACAAAGAAAAAAAAACAAAAAGGCTCTCTAATTTGTTGATAAGCTTCAAATCTCAAAGCAATGAAGATCTGAAATTTTACCTGCAGAAACTGCAATTGCAGATGCCTCTGCACTTAGGACATAGCCAATCACTTGAGGTTGCCACCTCTTCTGCCTTCTCACCATACCTAATTTATACCGAAATCAGAGACACATAATCGCAGGAATCATATGATTGAAAAGAGAAAAGGAAAACAAGCAAACCTGTTCTGCAAACACTTATGACAGTAATTAATGGTACATTGCTTGTCATTCTTCATACCCTTGCACGACGCCGCAAAGTCCATCGTCTTCTGTCGACACTGCAAGATTTAAACTTTCAGAATTTTAGAATTTGGGTTCAGTGTGGAAGGAGTCACTCAAATCAAAGAAAGATGGGTTCGATTGAAACAAACAAAAAAAATAAAAAAAAGTTGTGTTTTCTCAGTTGGTACTTGACACAATTTGAAACAAAATAAAAAGGGCAGAATCAGAATCTCGAATTGTTCATGGTTTAACCTGGTGACAAGTTTTGCCATTACTAGAATCGTAGATTCTTCCACCGATGACACGAACTCCAGGGTTCGTTGTACGTTTAGATGGTTTATTGTCCACAGCCATTAACAATCAAAGAAGAAAAAACCCTCAAAAGAGAAGAAAGGGTGGAGAACTAATTCGAAAGGAAGAAACTTTTCAATTGGGTTTTGTCGAGTACTCGAGAATCTCAATCACTCGCACCAGAAGAGAGCCAATCGAAGCAAATTTAGAGGAAGCGAAAACAAATTGGAGAGGGAAAACGAAAAAGCAGTCAAATTTTTTAAAAAGATTGAGGAGGGTGAAAAGGGCCGCTTCATTTTTTTGGTCATTTGCAAAGTGTTCACTGAACTTGTCTTTCTCTCCTTTTTTACCACTGTATTTGACTTTTTTTTCCATTAATGCGACTATGCAAGTCAACAATATATTACAATTTCCAGATTTTAGAAACAATTGTTTTCTGTTTCTAAAACAAAATTTGATTTCTTTTCTAAAATAATTTTTTTCCTAAATTACTTTTCTAAAAAAATAATTTGTTTCTAAATAATTCAGGAAAAATATTTGTTTCTAAATACTTCATTAAAAAAAATTGTTTCTAAAAAATTTGTTTCTAAATAATTGACTTGTTATTGATTTTTTGTTTGGACTGTTATTATTGATTTATTTGATAATATTATTACGATTATTATATTACTGTGATTTATTGTCTTTCAAAACTTTTTTTTCCAAAGTTATTTTAAAAACTTTTGTTTTTAAAATTTGGAAATGGAATATATTGTTGACTTGCATTAATATAAAAACCTAAAAATAATTATTAATAGGACCAGTGCTGTGTTTTAAATGTTTTTCTACAATTTGGAATTGTAATACCGAGCACTTGCATTATTGGAAAAGCAATGGTAAAAATACAGAAGAAAAATAAAATCATTTGCAAAGGAAAAACAAGCGGTCATTTTAAAAATAGGTATAATATATTTTCTCCTTTTATGATTTATTCAATTTCGATATTTAAAAAATATAAACAATAGGAGAAAAATGGACTTAAACCAACGAAGAAATGAAATATGACAACAAAAATGGTATGTTTTGGAAAATACCATAGTAAATGACAGGCTGTCATTAACAGCTTAGAAAGTTAAATAAATATTAAAAATAATACTAGATACATATTTAGCAGAGATTTTAAAATACAATTTTAACTAAAAAATTATGGACAGTCAAAATGTCTTTATTAATGGATTAACTTTACCAAACTTTAACTTTATTTAGTATAAAAAAGTTATTGACACTTGACAGCTAAAAAAAATTAAATAAATATTAAAAATAATATTAAACATCATTTAGCAGAAAACTTTTAAAATCAAATTAATGAAAGAAATCTATAGATTAATTGAACTTCAATTTATAATATATTTGATGGATACATTTATGTAAATTTCAACTAAAACTAATTATTTATATTAATTTCAAAATTGTAGTAGTAATTTGAAAACTACTTTATTTTAAATTTTATATTAATATGAAATTCACTTTAGAGTATCTCCTAAATCATGCAGCAATCAAAACATTAATTTAACATGGCATTATTCATCATAAATAATTTTTAAATGAATAAGAAACTAAAAATAAATATATTGACATAAAAAAAATTAATTTAAATCTTCGTTTTTGCAATCGAAATCCAACGAAAACTTTTTTTGTACATAACTGATGCTTTCATCAATGTTGTAATAGAAACATACAAAAGGTTGTGAGATCAATAAGCTTTTACAGATTGTAAATTAATCTTAGGCGAGGAAAACAAGTTTAAATATGTTCAATTACATTTGTAAAATAGATAAGGATATCCTTACACTTGGCATTGATTGATATAGTTGATATTAAAGCATTAGGGCATGTCCAATGGGGGGATGAGGAGAGTCTCTAATGGCTTTTTTAATTAAAAAGAAAATTTTTAATCATGTTTTTAAGCAGGATTGATCCTAATTTAGTAGTTTTTGGAGACCCATTAATTACTCCGACGTGTCGCGTTGTGGTTGGTTAGATGATTTTATTTTATTTTTGATTTTATTTATTCAAACACTCTGTTTTGATTAGAGGGTTTGAAGTTGGGTTGGTTTTTATTTTTTGTCTAACCTTCTTCGTCTTCTTCGGAGGAGACTTCAGTGATATCAGAGAGAGGCGAGAGAGAGGCGATTAAACGGACAACTGATCAGCGATGCTTATTTGATCGGTGGATGGATCAAATAAGATCGGTGGATGCAGATGCGAAGATCGGCGCTGCAGATGCGAAGATCGGCGCTGCAGATGCGAAGATGGGTGGATGGATGGATGATGATCGGCGATGCTTATTTGATCGGTCGAGGTACAGACAACTGATCGGCAATGGCTTATTTGATGTAAATCAAAGCACAGTCAAAGCAAATTCAGAGATGGGTATATTACAAGTAAGATTTTTACTCAGTTTATTGATTTCCCGAAAATGTAGTGAGTTAATGAATTAGGAAGGCTTTGATGTGGTTGATGATTGATGGTTTGGATGGATTGGATTACTGATTGAATCAATGCTCTGTAGTGGTTAGGTTTGCATTAGATATTGTAGTCAATGCTTTGTTGAATTAGGATGTGATTTGTAGTTGCTCTATGTCACGGTTGATAAATGTGAGAGTGGAATCAATGCATTTGTGTCACAATGAATGCTTCGGTTAAAACTCTAATAAATAGTTTCTTTTGCTCATGTCTTCAGAAGCTACAAACTCTTAACTACAAACTCTAACTTAACTCTAACTTAACTTGAACTTTAAATCTATCTTCAATGCTAACTCCATCTTGAATAAGCTTCTATATATTGAAGCTCACTTTGTTTTTTTTAAAAGACACACACCCAAACTTCTTTCCACACTTTTTAAAAGACACACCGAAATCACACACCCAAACACACACCCTAAACACATTCACTAAACCTTCCAATGGATTCAACTAATCCTTTTTCTGACACATCAGGCTTCATGGACCTGCTAACTAGCCAACAAAGAACCCAAACCCATAGCCTTGAACCCATGGAAACAACCATAGCACTCGGTGATTCACAAGTTCCAGTGTTTGGAACACAATGGAGTGATGCTCCAAGTCCAACTGATGCACAAGAGAAGGAGCGTAAGACCAGGAAGCCATGGACTCCTGCTGAAGATCTTGCGCTTATAAGCGCCTGGCTTAATACCAGCAAGGATCCAATCATCAGCAATGGGCAAAGGGCAGATGCATTCTGGAAAAGAATAGCCATCTACTATGCGGCGAGTCCTGACGTGTCTGCTGAAGATAAGAGAGGGCCAACTAACTGTAAGCAGAGATGGGCCAAGATAAATGAGTTTGTCTGCAAGTTTGTTGGGTCGTATGAGGCAGCTTCATCTCAAAAAACATCAGGTCAAAATGAAAATGATGTAATGAAGCTGGCTTTGGAGATATTCCACAATGATTACAAACACAAATTCACCATGGAGCACTGCTGGAGAGAACTGCGTCATGATCAGAAGTGGGCAGGAAATGGAAGCTCAAAAAAAAGAAGAACCGATGGTGCTAGAGTTGAAGGAACCGATGCTCCTTTGAGGCATGGAGATGATGAAGGAATTCCTCGGCCTGCTGGTGTAAAAGCTTCCAAGGGCAAAAAAAAAACAACAAAGACCAATGGTGGTCGTTTGGAAGAAGATGGTAAGGATTTAGTGGACTTTAGAAGCATCTTTGAGCTAAGGGAAAGGGAGTTAGCATTGAAAGATAAGACTAACAAGCAAAAGATACTCGAAAATCTGCTTGCAAAAACCGAACCTCTTACTGAGGTAGAATTCGAGCTTAAGAACAAGCTCATTAAGGAAATGTTGTCAAATATGTGAGAGTTTGTATGAGTGAGTTAAGGGTGAGGTCTGTTTTTCTTTGGTATGAGTTAGTTTTTGGGTATGTCATATTGTTAAGTCTTTTGGGTATGTCATATTGTTAAGTCTTTTTGGGTATGTCATATTGTTAAGTCTCGGGTATAACTTCTATGTCTTGTAATGTTTGTTCTATGTATTTTTATAAAGCCTTTCAGTTGTTTGTCTTTTGGTTTAGGTTCTATGTATTGTATTCAAGACTCCATATATATATATGATTTTGTTTCCTTTATCATTTGTATGACTTATATTCACTTGTTCATGATCTCTTTTTTCTTATTGCAGGCAACAAAGTCATGGACAAACGGCTACAAAGGAGGCTTTGAAGAAATGGCTACAATTTGTATATTCATATAGGTTTGGGCCACCATTATTATTTTGGCCGATGTTTTGTGCAATATAAGGTTTGGAACTGGTACTTAGCTATATTTTGGGCCTGCTATTTTGTATTGGCCGTTAAAAACTTTTAGCCGATGTTTTTAAGTCCCACTTCTTTTTCTGTCCCAATTTGTTATGTCCCACTTCTTTTTATCCGATGTTTTTGGCCAAGTCTTTAGCAAGTGGTGGTTCTGTATTCATATGTACACACCACACAATTTATTACACAATTTATGGCACAATTTATTACACACCACACAACTCATCCCACCACATATTCAATGAATGGTGTAAACTCAAGCGTATTGTCTATATATTAGAAGATTGCAAATGCTCACAAACAAATCATCTTATTCAACATCATCTTTATTTCTTACAACTCTCTTCTTCCTACATCGTTTTCTAACTCTCTTCATCATCTTTCTTTCTCATAACAAAAAACCATCTTCTATGGCATCTTCATCCAATAATAATTTTGAGAAAATTATTGAAGACAAATTCGAGGAAGCTTTTGAAAATGCATATGAAAATGCATTTGAAAATCTACTTGTTAATCAGAGCAATCGTCAAAGATCAACCAAAAAAAAAAGAGCATATATTGAGAGAGATCGGGAACAAGGCCATATCCGTTTATGGAACGACTATTTCCGGGAAGATTCAACATATCCACCCTATATGTTTCGTCGTCGTTTCAGAATGAACAAACCTTTGTTCATGCGTATTGTTGATGGCCTCTCTACTCATCTTCCATTCTTTCAACAAAGACGAGATGCTACCGGAAGATCCGGTCTCTCTGCACTACAAAAATCTACGGCAGCCATTCGTATGATGGCATATGGTTGTGCGGCTGATGCGGTTGATGAATACCTCCGGCTTGGTGAAAGCACCGCCCTTTCTTGCTTGGAAAATTTTGTAGAAGGAATCATATATCTTTTTGGAGATGAGTATCTACGAAGACCCACACCAGAAGATCTTCAACGCCTACTAGATAGTGGAGAATCTCGCGGATTTCCCGGGATGATAGGAAGCATCGATTGTATGCATTGGGAGTGGAAAAATTGTCCCACTGCTTGGGCCGGACAATTCACACGAGGATCTGGCACACCGACAATCGTTTTAGAGGCTGTAGCTTCAGAAGATCTTTGGATATGGCACGCATTTTTTGGCCCGCCAGGTACTTTAAATGATATTAATGTGCTCGATCGTTCTCCGGTATTTGATGATATATTACAAGGTAAAGCTCCGAAAGTGAATTACTTTGTCAACGGACGACAGTATCACTTAGCTTACTATCTCACCGATGGAATTTATCCAAAATGGGCTACATTTATCCAATCTATAAGCCGACCACAAGGTGACAAAGCATGTTTTTTTGCAAAACGTCAAGAAGCTACCCGTAAAGATGTCGAGCGTGCTTTTGGAGTCTTGCAAGCTCGGTTTGCCATTGTCAAAAATCCAGCTCTGATGTGGGATAAGGTGAAGATAGGAAAAATTATGCGAGCTTGTATAATACTTCATAACATGATTGTAGAAGACGAACGAGATGGGTACAGTTTGTCTAATGTTGAAGAATTCACACAAGGAGAATCAAACAGAACTTCACATGTGGATATGACGTATTCTACCAATATGCCTTCAAATCTCACTAATATTATGGTCATCCGGAATTCACTGCATTCTCGAACTACGCATGAACAATTAAAAGAAGATTTAGTTGAGCATTTGTGGAATAACTTTGGTTCAATTCAAGATTACAACTAATCTTATTATTTCCGGGTTATGATTTGCATCTCTCTTTTGTTTTGTTTTTCTGTATTCTATGTCTAAGTTTGTATTAATTAAATATTTGTATTAATAAAATGTGTGTATTAATAAAATATTTGTATTAATATAATGTTTGTATTCATAAAAATGTTTGTATTTGAAAAATTGCAAAAAAAAAAAAACAAGTAGAGCCTCCCTTTAAGAGACTACCATTGGACACTAATCTAATGAAAAAATTATAATGGAGTTCTAGTGCATTAAAAAGAATAAAAAACTATTAAAATTAGGATTAGATCCCCTTCTTTGTATACTATGGATGGAGGTGGTCTTATGCTTAAGTAGCATAAGCAGTGTGATGCTAAAGTTGTATGCTCTTACTAATGTATATATTTTAAGTGATTGGTAGAGCTGTGAGTAATTATATATATATATATATATTATATAAATATTTAATATATTTATTTATATGTGTTGTATTTATAGTATAATTCTTTTTAAAATTTATTCATCTTTATTTAATTCTTACTTAATTATAATAATAAATATTAGTGTTAACATGTAAGATTTATATTTTAATATAAATATAATTTTGATGTTATTTTAACAAAATAAATTAATAATATAAAATTATTTTGGAATATTAAAATATTTAAAAATATAATGCTTTGAAAAAACTCCATGTGAAAGCATAGATGAATGAGCATTTAGAAGAGTATTTGCATCTTCTAAATGCTCTCCTAAATGCTCTATTAATAAAAGTTGATTGAATGATTTTAAGCATAAAGCTATTATAAAAGCTGTGCCAATCAAGGCCTTAGATCAAACTATTGGATTCATATCCAAAAACTCCAAAACTCTTTTTTGAACCAGATCTGGATATTTTTATCTCTAATCAAATTACTTGGAAATCCAGGAATTTCGAGACTATTGTTTTAATAGAATCTTGGATCAAAAACATGTCTTGGATGTTTCTAAGAGGCTATATATGAAATTTATAGGACATTTACCAAGTTTGAGTTTTTTTTTAAAAAAATTTAGAACTAAGAAGTGACAAATTAATCATAAACAATAAGAGACTAAACTAGAATAACAAAATAAAAACGATGAGATGAAGAGTAAAAATTAAGAGACAGTAAGAAAATCTCCACAAGTAAAAACAACAACAACAAAATATGCAAGCATTTGATACCTTAAGATTAAATTGAATGGATCTAAAACCTAATTGTTTTTTTTTGTATATATGATATCATACCTTTTTACTAAATCTTCTAACTCAATTCAAGGTCTCTTCGCTGATACAATCGAAATCCAACACAAACTTTCTTTGGGATATAGTCGGCGCTTTCGTGATATTACAAAATGTTGTGAGATTGATAGCCTTTTATAGAACGAAAGATAACCCTAAGCGAAGAAAACAAGATTAAATACATCAAACGACATCGTGTAATATACTAAACCTTTTATAAATTGAAAATTAACCCTTAGTAAGGAAAAAAAGATTAAACATGTCAAACGATGCAAAATTAGAGTCGGCCCATACCATTATTAAGCCTTAAGAAAATATAAAAAAAGCCCAATCACAAACAATTGTGTCAACTTTTAACCTTTAAGCCTAAAAATGTAAACAACCACTACACTAAACCACATTTTAGAATTTGCTGCCTCTAAAATTTTATTAAATTTTTGGCGCCTAGAACCCTAGTTTTACCAGCTTTAGTCAAGGATTGACTCTGTGTAAAATACTAGAACTATATGAGGTAGTATATCCGCAAAGATCAACACAAGTTTTCCTAGTTGTAATATATATAAAATACCAAATCAATAAAAAAAAAAGAATTAAAAAAAAAGGAAAGCATACTACCTAGGAAATCTTGTGCTAAACTCTATGGACATACTACCTCACAAATTCTGGTGGGTTTTAGAGAAATGTGAGAGAGTTAGGAAGAGATATACGGAGAAGAGTAGAGGGTTTTTTTACTATTTGTCTAAGTTTGTCTTAGCTTGCCAGTTGGTATAAGTTTTGTTGAAACATTTACTCAAGTATCATCATTGTCAATAGTCAATACCCAAGTACACAGAGTGCAATACTCTTTCTTTCTTGAGTTAATAATCTAAAAGGGAGACGAATTTGCAAGAATAACCAAGGGCCCACAGCAAACTAAAAGTTACTGTGTTTATGGTCATCAGCAAAGACATTTGTACTCCCAGATATATGTTGTCAAGTTGAACGATGTAATCTGACAAAAAAATATATAATCTTGTAGGCTGACTGCGAAAATTTTATAGGGTAGGGGAGATATCTCTCCATTAATCACAACCACACAAATTATTTATGTCAGATGAACAATATATATTATAATAACAAGTTACATTGTTATAGATTAATAGTTATTATATCATATATAAACATATAAATTTAGATATAACATTATGTTTTACACGATAAATATAATGTTAGATTGATAACAATAATGAGTTATATAGATGATTAAATATATTATTGATACATTTAACACTTTAACATATATATTAACGTCTAACACTATAATTTACTAGGTAAAAAATATGTTAGACTGATAACAATAATAAGTTATATATATGACTAAAGATGTTATTGATATATGTAGCAGGTTACATATAAAATTAACGTCTAACATTATAATTAACTAGATAAAAACTATGTTAGATTGATAACAATAATAAATTATCTAGATTGTTAAAGGTGTTATTTTTGTAGTTAGTACGCTATAAATACATATAACATTCTAGCAGATATGTTAGCTGTTTAATAATAAAATTATAAAAATAATGCAGCTAGATACATATTATTATATATGTTAGCATCAATCTAATAGAATCGTCGGTTGTTCTAGCAGTTGAATACGAAGTTGTTATTCCTTACAAAAAAAGTCAAAAACGAAATTTAATTTGATCAACGATGGAGAAGTCAGGATGACTATACCAGTGTACAACCAAATCAATGCTAATTTTTGATTGAAAGTTCAAATCAAAGATATAATTTCACCAGCTTTGATCATATACAATAAATGTTAGATCCAGACTTTTCAATAAACAGATCCGGTAATAATATTGTTGGGGAAATATTATTTTCAAAGAATAAATCTCGAAGATGAAAGTGAAAAAAAATATAATATAGACATACAAAATAGAGACGAAGAAGAGAAAGGAGAAATGAGAAAGAAGAAATGAGAAAGGAGAATGGAGGAGAGAGAAAGAGAAAGAAAAAAAGAAAGATAGATGATAAGCTAGCCATATAGATTAATAGGGGTGAAAGTATATTAAAAAAAATTGTATAGTGTCGTTTTTTTAGCTTAGTTTCTGCAAATTGTGTTGATGGGATAGTCATTTCTTATAATTATTTTTCTTTCTTTTTTTTTTTTTTTTTTTTTTTTTTTGCAAAGTTTGGTATTTGTTCTTATTTATCATTCACTTTTCATCTTATTTCAATGGCAATAATGGTATGAGTAGGACTGATATACAAGGCACAGCGTAGGATTATCTGTAGAATAAACTATACTAGATTTTGAAAAGCAAATCATTAAATTTGAACAAATAGTCCCACTGAGAGATATATATTAAACCCCAACTGATGTAAGTAAAACAAACAAGCACCTCCTCCTGTTTCACTCATAGCTAATTAGCCATATTGGTGCTTCCTTTCTCCTCTCACTCCAGTTCTTTGAGAAAGTCAATGTTGTCCACAAATACCTGTAAAAGCCCCCAAAGTCACACGATTAGTCAGAGCTATTTCCATCAAATGATGAATCTCTCTCAACACAATAAATCTTACCGATTTCCAACCGTCAGGATCCAAACACGCGGTGATCTTCGTGTTTATACCTGGTAAGGGACCAGGTTCCCTCGTGATTTTCCCACCAAAGAGTTTTACAGCCTCTGCAGTTTTGTACACATCATCCGTCCCTATTGCAATCTGACAACAATTTTTTTGTTTACAAAGTTTTAAAAAGAAGAATGGCTAGCTTCCACATAGAAAGAAATGTCAAATTTTTATCTCACCTGAGCATAAGCATTTCCTTTATCATATTCAGTGACACCATAGTTATATGTCAGCTCTAGGACAGGAAATTTATCTTCCGGACCATATCCCATCATAGCTATTGTGTACTGCAAATAACCACTTACGGTAATTGAGTTTATAGAGAGCCAAAACATCGAACAACAATATTGTTTTTTGCAATCTGAAACTGAATAGAGAAGACCAGACACATAGAAAAGGAAACATACGGGTACGAATTATATCTGTGAGGCATTGCAAGTTACCTTGTACTCTGGGTTGTCTCTTGTGCGCAGAAGTTCCATTCCAAAAGCCTATAAAGAAAACAAGCACGTATGATCAGAGGGTAATAATGCATTCAGATAGAAACACTAATTGTTCAGGCTATATATAAATTCTCACATCTGGAAACAATTTCATAGGACTCACCTTCTCATAGAATTTTATGGACCTGTCGAGATCACCAACACGGAGCATAACTTGGCAAAAAGGTTCTGGTGTAGGACCTCTTTCCAAGAGTTCAAATTTGTAACCATCAGGATCTTCAATGAATGCGATCACAGTCTTGCCACCTTTGACAGGACCAGGCTCCCGTGATACTTTGCCCCCTTTGGCTTTTATAAGCTCTACAGTTTTCCCAACCTTTTTGGAATCAAAGTTAACTTCTTAGAAATAACTAATAAGACACATAAAGTATAAAGATTTTGAGTAAAAGACACAAACACACAAAACAAAAAGGCTCACATCGTCGACAGCAATACCAAAGTGGCCAAAACCTGCCCCGATGTCATACTTATCAACTCCATAATCTGGAAACAATATCAAAGTAAAGACGCTAAGCCAAACCATCTCAATATAAAATGCATAGCCTTGAGCTCAGTAGAGCTAAATGGAGGTGAGTCTTTGCAGTAGCGTCAACGGAGGTGATACAGAAATGACTTACTATAAGTGAGCTCGATTACAAAATGTGAATCTTCAGGTCCATAACCAAGGAAAGCATTTGTATATTTCTCTTCTGGTATATCACGCTTGCGTAGAAGCTTCATTCCAAGACATTCTGTATAGAATCTGCAACAATTAGATAATTCTGTTAAATCCTTAAATGCTAGCTACTTGTAAAGATATTAAAATCATATCAGAAGCCAAGTACTTTATTGTCCGGTCCAAATCGCCAACACGATAAACGACATGAAGCATTCGTCTGTTGTCATCTTTGACCCACTTGAGAAGATCGTCTTGATTAGTAGTAGCTGTGCTTGCTTGAGCTGCGTTTCCAGATTCAGCTACTCCTAAGCAGTTTACACTTCTTCTCAAAAGCTTATGAGTATTTGTACCAAAGAGATGTGATTGAGGAACATCTGGATTCAATAAGCAAATGAACAAGAGTGATCAATATCTATCGGAAGCATATTTATCTAACAAACGCAGAGTAAAACCAATCACAGGGGAAATTTGAACCCTAGTTCCAGATTCCAGTAATCAATTGAACAATGATTGATATCCGATTGTATCTCTTTCTCTATCTATCTCTCGTGTAGTCAACGATATACGATTAAAATCTACGAGGTGGAGGATGATTACGAGAGTAAGAAAGGGTGCGAGGGAGATTCCGGGAGAGGAAGGAGACGGGGAAGCGAGGAGAGGCAGAGAAGCAGCCCAAGGAAGGTCGGATGGAGGAGGCCATGGGGATTATCCTCACCATCTTCGTCGAGAATCGTTTGAGATTCAGAAGCTGGTGCGTTTTGTGAAAGGCGTCACAGTCGTCGAATATTGTGTGTTTGTGATTGTGAAGCAAAGCGGTGGTATCTTTCCTCCGTCGGAGAGGGAGTGAAGCCAACGGTGAAGATAAAGCAAGGAACCCCGTATAATTTTTGTTTTTTTTGTTTTTTTTTCTTTTGTTTTTTGTTGGTCGACAGCATATTTTTTTTTTCTTTGTTTTGTATCTTTTTGTTGTGTCAATTTATAAAAAAAAGATTGTCGACAAAAAAAAAAGATTAAAATGGAGCAGGTATTTTGATTACAGCATATATACTTTATTTTATCTTTTCGGAATTTTTAGTACAGAAATAGGCAAATAACTATGGTAATAAATGGTATACTTTTTTACCTTTTGAAAACATAATTTTGTTACTTTTTACTATGATAATATTTATCAACTTTTTAGTATTTTGCTTGTTTTAAAATGAAATTTTCTAACTAAAATTAGTGGATTAAAAATATAACTATAATTAATATATTAAAATCGCTTTAGAGCATTTTATAATTATTTTAGAAAAATTTGGGTTTTTTAAAATAATTGAATTAGGAGACCGCCATGATGTAACTTCAAATTTTCAATCATGACTGTACACCAGCTCATCATCTCCAACGCTGATAAATCTTGAGGTCAGAGAGATCATGTGAAACTCTAATGGCTAAATGGATTAAATATTACAATTCTGGAAAATTTTTGATTTTGTTGTCTTAATTATTATATAAATCGTTGTTGTTACTACTTTGTAATTAAGTGAACGCATCTATGTCAGTTAGTCGATCAGATTCTTATTACATAAAATTTGATGTTTACTTTGTAATTAACATGATCACAGAATGTGTTTAGTGGATCATATTTTAACTCACGTAAGAAAGAAAAAAAATTACACTATTATACAGCATCAAAAGAGTCCTCTCTGTTTCCTATGAAAAATTCCACTAAACTAAATAATAAATTTATATACGTACCGAGGATATCTTTCTTTTTACATTCAGCAATATAGGTGGTCGGATTTCGGGCATCTGACAAATCACCGGCTAGAAAGAAGCATAACACTGTTATGATTGTAGTAGCTATCGGAACTGTAGTTGTAGCTGATGACCGAGCCATTTGGGTCATATTGGTTTTAAGGTCTTTTCGTGAACAATGCAATAAATAATATTTATGGGTGATGATGGTTTAGGTTAGACTTTATGTTATATATTGTAAGTTACGACCTACTAAGGGTCATTACTTTTCCATAGTTTCGTAGTTTGTTTTTTGATTTTTTTCTATGGGGGAGACATGTGTATGGGAGAATCCTTTGATGAGATCTAAAAAAATTAAATTGGTTTGTAACGTAAGTATTATTATTTGACTATATATAAAACTAATTTATATAGAAAGGCTTTATAAATAAATGTATAAAAAAGTTTTTTAGTTTTTTTTTTCAAAATGTTAAATTGTTCGTTTACACGTAATAAAACATCAAAAGCGAGACCTAAAGAATACAAACTTAAGTGATATTTTGTGATCATAGTGATTATACCTCATTGAATCAAAATCAAGCCTAACTAGGTCGGGTTATGCATGGACTCGAAATGTGGATGTAATAAAGTGTTTGGAAGACTTCAAGTAATTAAGTAGAGATGCACTACAAAAAACATGTCCAAATCTGACTACTAAAACAGTAAAAAAAATTTGTCGAAAACAGTTATTTTCGACTAATGTTTGACCAAATCTGAATTGTCAAAAATCGTTAATCGAAAATAAATTTTGGTTAAAAAATAGTTAAATTTTGTGACTAATAACTTTGGTAAAAAAAATTCTGACCAATAAACTGATCACAAAATAATATTTTTGACCAATAAATTTGGTCAAAAGATTCTGACCAATAAACATGGTCTTAAAATTTTGTTAATAATAGATCAAAAAGACTAGATTACAAAATTCATAAATTATTGATTTTTTTGTTAAAATTGGAAATGGTATTAGAAAATAATTCAATATTAATTTAAACTAAATAAATTACATTTTAATTAACTCAACCAATGTACCAATAAATAACCGAAATCAAAACGTTAAACCAAGTATAAACCAGAGTTAACAAAAGAAGAACTATGCTCTCAGATCTGGAACCACTACCGCCTGCTGACTTTGTCCGAGGAACATGGGTTGAGAGTTGGTGCATGACTCGAGGTTAAAAGTATGTTTCACCACTGCTTTGTTACAAAATTGGTCGAGTTATAAAACCGAATGTTTGTTGTTCTGTTTAATGTGTGACGATAGAGTGTAAAGCTTAGAGCATGATTATTGCGGGTCTCTAATGGGTTTTTAATAAATACTTTTCATTTTTTTAATTGGGTTGGGCTTAAAAAGTAGAAGATGTGTCTCTTTATTTGGGAGCGTCTGGAGACGGTCTCCAGAGACACGTGGGAGGATGCTATTGGCATTTGTAAAATGGGGACAATTTTTTTTTCTTTCTTCATTTCTTTCTAAACTCGAAACTTCACCTCGCTCATTCCGTCGAAGGAGATTCTGGAAACGAAAAATCGGCGACTCGATTCTGCACCGGCGGTGGCTCATCCTTGATTCCGATCCGGCGTTCGGTCATCTGTAACGACGATAACGGTAAGGGATTTCTATTTCTCTCTCACTCTCGTTCTCAATCGTCGATTCTATGTTTTGTTTAGATTGGTTTGTTTTTTCCTTCATCGTTTTGATTAGATAGTTATGGATAGTTTATGATTTTGATTTCATCGATTTATTGCTTTGGGATAGAGGGTATTGGCGTTTTATGGTTTTAGTGTTTGACTCTTGAAATTGAGTTAGGATTTGTTTGATAATGCTTTTGATTACATCGATTAAGGATTTATGTATGGGTGTTTTGTTTTTATGGTTTTGATTACATCGACTAAGGATATAGTATATGGTTTTAGTGTTTGACTCTTGAAATTGAGTTAGGATTTGTTTGATAATGGTTTGATTACATCGATTAAGGATCGATGTATGGGTGTTTGGTTTTTATGGTTTTGGTTACATCGATTGTTGACTTAGTGTAAATAGAAATTGATTTTGTATTTGCTCATTGTATTTGCTTGATAGGCCTTTTTGTTTGCTTGAGATTGTGTTTGCTGGATTCAGTCAAGATAAGTTTCACTGCATCTGTCTATATGCATTGATGACTATCTCCAACTCAACTTGTTTATCTTTTGTGGTTGTCTATATGCATTGATGACTATCTCCAACCATTTCAGCTAACCAAACTTGTTTATCTTTGAATGCAGCTCACGAAAAGGGCAATCTTCCAAGGCGAGTGTAGTGGAACAAGTGGAAGGAGTGCAACTTGCGGACAAACCTGGTAAGCTTTTTAATACACTATCTAAATGGTAATAAAGGCTTATTTAGGTTGTTTGTTAGAGTTGGCATAAGAATGGTTAGATAGGTTTGGTCATAAATGCTTGTTAGAGATAGTTAATGGTAATAAAGGGTTGTTAGAATTGAGTTGAATGCTCTTTGTTAGGTTAATGTCTCGTCGAAGTGGTTAAGTGTTGATAAATGATTTTTTCTTTCCTTTGTTTGAACTTTATTAAACGCAGATACTTGTTTTCCCTTTGATCTTCTTAAAAGAAGATCTTCTTAAACACACACACTACTTCGTGTGTTCTTGTCTTCCTCTCTTCCATTCCTTGTCTTCTATCTCTCTTCTTTATCTTCCATTCCTTGTCTTCCTTGTCTTCTTTCTCTCTTCCATTCCTTGTCTTGTTTCTCTCTTCCATTCGTTGTCTTCTTTCTCTCTTCCATTCCTTTGTAATGGATTTCTCTTCTACATTTCCATTTTCTCAGCCTTCAAACTTTGTTGACTTGTTGAATAGTCAACAAGAAACACTTATCTTTGATGAGCCCTTCGGTACACAGTCTACTCAGTCTACAGCTCAAGAGCGATGAGAAAGGAGAACTTGGACCCCCAGCGACGATATCCTGCTCATCAGTTCCTGGTTAAACACGAGTAAAGACCTGTAGTGGGCAATGAGCAAAAAAGTGGAGCTTTCTGGAAGAGGATAGCGGCGTACTATGCTGCAAGTCCAAATGCTGATTCCCGTGAACCTCGTCTGGCTAGCAATGCAAGCAGATGTGGCACAAGATGAATGATCTTGTGTGTAAGTTCCGTGGTGCATATGAGGCGACAACAAGGGATGAATAAGATGAATGAGAATGACGTGATTAAGCTTGCCCACCAGATCTTCTTAATCAATCACAAGAAGAAGTTCAATCTTGAACACGCATGGAAGGAGTTGAGGAATGATCAAAAGTGGTGTGAGAATCTTTCCACAACAAAGAATGATGCAAAAAGGAGAAGGAGTGATGAGGGCTCGCAATCACCGCGATCTGCTGCAGAGGAGCTGAAGAGTGGTGAAGAAGATATTTCTAGCAATCGGCCTCCTGGTGTGAAGGCTGCAAAGGCAAGAGGGAAAAAAACTACGGGTGAAGGAAAAGTGGTGACTGACTTTCAAAAGCTGTGGGACATCAAATGAGAGGACATAACAGCTAAAGAGAGACTGACCAAGATGGGCCTTTTAGACAGCCTCATTGCACAAAAAGAACCCCTTTCTGAGGTTGAAGAAGCACTTAAGATGAAGCTCATCAACGAGATGTTGTCTACTTAGTGATTGTATGTTTGTTTTGTATGTTTCATGTGTGTCTGTTCCATGTTGTCTGCTCATCAGTTCTTGTTTGTTTCATTTTTTTTTTTATGAATTGGCTTTGTACTTGTCATTTACGACAATGCTTTTAATGTTTAAATTGGCTATGTTTTAGAAGTGTGAATGCTTGGTCTATTCATGTTATAAATCAGCTTTATTCATGTTGTCTGCTCATCAGTTCTGGTTTTGTTCATGTTCCGAAATGATACACTGATATATGATAATTGATATGACTTATTTCCTGGCTTTTGGTTCATGTTCGGATCATGCTCCGGTTCATTCTGAGATGAGGAGACTTTGCTGAATGCATTACAAGGTCCTTTGTTCATTAAAAGTTTTGATTATGGTTTGGTTCATGTTATGCATTTGTTAACTCGGTTATTTTGGTTTTCAAGGAGATTTGGAGTGGAAGTTGGCACAAAACAACAAGACAGCTCACATGATATAAAGTGGAAAAACAAGTCGGCA